CTCAAAAAACAAAAGATACTCCAGTCTGCGACTGATAAATCATCTTTATATATACGGTATTCATGTGGTAATATTGTATTATGTTAGAGCTGAAACACTACAGAAAGGTGAATGTACCATGGCTCGTCACACTGTCATGCTTACATTCATCGCTCATCATTTTCAGTAAAGTGAGTCCGACTCCATCTCATGATCTGTGACAAACAAAGCAACAGTGACACATAGTAAAAACACTGTTACACACACTTGTGTGTTGAGACATTACTGTCAGATCCAGTATAGTCAACACAGTCTCTCTGAAAAGCCTGCGTCCAACTGTCTTGTTTTTAAAAAAAACAAATCTACAGTCAAATGAAGCGAACGAACAAACAAACCCACGCTTAAATTATGATGAATGCTTGGCAAAGACTGCTTTCGTCAACTAAAACCTCAGAGAAATCTGTTGTTCAGTAAATCTATTTTTGTGTCTGGGCGGGGCTAAAGAGGCAATGATGTAGAAGTGGGTGTTGATCTTTTTCTTTCGTCGCACTATGATGTCATACTGAGAAAAATGTCCGAAACGAGTCTTTTTCAATAAAAGCTGTTTTTGGACTAGTGAGGAAGTTTTGAGTTATGAAACTTACAGGATATTCTTATAGTTTGGTGACCTCTTATATGTCAAAATATCAAGGAAAATGTGATTTATCAATTCATGACTGCTTTATTTATTTTTTTTCCATGAAAAATGTAATGCTGCTTTAGAATTTGGAATGAAATATGATTAAATTATCCACTAATAATAGCAAAAAACTCATGTTAATTTTAAACTATATATTTAATATAGTTTATAAACATTAAATATTACACAACACTTATTATAATAACTATAAAAATATTGAATAAAATAGACCTTCATGTATTATTCAAATAGACCTACATGTATTATTCACGTATAATATTGAATTATTCAATATTTGTAATAGTAGGAATTCAAATGTACAGGTAATATTAAATAAATATTAAATATAATCATATTTATAAACATTAAATATGGTGTAATACATAATAAATACAATAGCTATATAAAACTAAATAGCAAACGTTGATGGCTTGATTTTGATTTTTCTCTCAATTGTGTTCCAGTCATTATAAATGTAATATGCTTTGGAATTTGGTATAAAATATATGATTAAATAGAATCAACTTAAATTCAACTTAATTCAACTTGAATTTAAATTATTTAGTATTTGTAATAGTTGCCATAGAAAAGTACTATTAATATTAAATAAGCAAATATTAAACATAATATAATAACTACTGTATTAAATAACTGTAAAGACATTGAATAAAACAGATCTACAAGTATATCTATAGTTAACATGAATTAGTTTGTTTATTTTTCCCATGATTCTGCTTCTGTACAGAGAGCACACGTCTTCAGAAGAGGACAGTTAATCAAGACTAAGTGCAGAGTATTGATCAGAGAGAGAGAGAGAGAGAGAGAGAGAGAGAAGGGGGAGAAGAAACTGGAAATACTTTTTTGATTAATCTACATGCACCATAACTCTCTACGTGCACAAATGCAACAAACAAAAAGAGCTCTATTCTGAAATATGCCATGATTAGTGTGATGAAATACAGAAATGAGCTCTGCACTGTTCTTGACAACACCAAGAAACATAAAGTTACTGTTACACCTGCAGATCACAGACATGATGCAAGTTTCATTTGTCCTCGCTGCAAGAAATAATGCTGCAAGATGCAACACAATAACACCAATTGGTGCATTTTACATAAGATGCAATCATGCATGTACACTCACCTAAAGGATTATTAGGAACACCATACTAAAACTGTGTTTGACCCCCTTTCGCCTTAATTCTACGTGGCATTGATTCAACAAGGTGCTGAAAGCATTCTTTAGAAATGTTGGCCCATATTGATAGGGTAGCATCTTGCAGTTGATGGAGATTTGTGGGATGCACATCCAGAACACGAAGCTCCAGTTCCACCACATCCCAAAGATGCTCTATTGGGTTGAGATCTGGTGACTGTGGGGGCCATTTTAGTACAGTGAACTCATTGTCATGTTCAAGAAACCAATTTGAAATGATTCAAGCTTTGTGCATCATCCTGCTGGAAGTAGCCATCAGAGGATGGGTACATGGTGGCCATAAAGGGATGGACATGGTCAGAAACAATGCTCAGGTAGGCCGTGGCATTTAAACGATGCCCAATTGGCACTAAGGCGCCTAAAGTGTGCCAAGAAAACATCCCCCACACCATTACACCACCTCCACCAGCCTGCACAGTGGTAACAAGCCATGATGGATCCATGTTCTCATTCTGTTTACGCCAAATTCTGACTCTACCATCTGAAAGTCTCAACAGAAATCGAGACTCATCAGACCAGGAAACATTTTTCCAGTCTTCAACTGTCCAATTTTGGTGAGCTCTTGCAAATTGTAGCCTTTTCTTCCTATTTGTAGTGGAGATGAGTGGTACCCGGTGGGGTCTTCTACTGTTGTAGCCCATCTGCCTCAAGGTTGTGTTGTGGCTTCACAAATGCTTTGTTGCATACCTCTGTTGTAACAAATGGTTATTTCAGTCAAAGTTGCTCTTGATTAGATAATTGCATTAATGAGAAATTGAACAAGTGTTCCTAATAATCCTTTAGGTGAGTGTATTTCAGACACAACAGGCAAACACACACACACAAAAAAAACTTGTTGTGATTAGGACAGACACTTCACCTGCATTTCACCATTTCTTTTGATGAAACTATTCCCACAAACTCAAAAAAAATGCAATAGTAAACCTCTGTTGTGCAAAACTTTAATTGTGCAGAAATTGTTAATTTTCACTTGATTATTTAAAAAAAAAAAACAGATTCATTCAATTGTTAATACTTGATTACCACCGTTTTTGTTAAATAAAATTTGTACTGAATCATAAATGCAGATTTTTTTCTTAAAAGACAACAGCAAAACATTTCATAGGGCCTCGTTATTGTAAAAAAAGTTTAATGTTTTATAAAAAAGTTTATAAATTTTTATAAAAGATACGCTTTTTGATTTTTAAAATGTAATTACACTATTAAAATACAGAAAATTAATGCAGAAAAAAATGTATTCCAGAAAAAATAAAACGAAAAAAATTTGGGGCACTATCAATGTCACAAAAATATGATAAAAGATGCCAATTTTCAAATAATAATTAATAATAATTGCATTTTCTGCTAAAATTACCACAATAAACAATTGAAGAGTTCAGATGCAAAAGCCTCTAAATGCCATTTGAAATTTTCTTCTTTAATGATGATTTTTGTCAAGCTTGTATATATAAGTTCAGTGATTTCACTTAAATGGCAATGATAATTACCTATTAATTGTTATTTAAGTGAAATTACTGAACTTAAATATACAAGCTTGACAAAAATCATCATTAAAGAAGAAAATTTCAAATGGCATTTAGAGGCTTTTGCATCTGAACTCTTCAATTCTTCAGCCAAGTAATATAGTGCATTAGTAACGACCCCTTTACGACGTTTAATAAAAACTTAATAAAATAAACAGGGAACATGACACAACATCCAAAGAACATTTGGAGAACATCAGCTCTTTAATTCAATTTTTCTCCATTATATTGCATATACATGATCTGCATATTGTTATAGATAAATAATTATATAAGAGGCAGAGTGAAGGCTACACACACACACACACACACACACACACACTAGATCCTCTTAAATAAGCTCAAATCTACCCACACATGTGCTGTACCTGCTGCCAAAACAATAAACTCATCCAGACCCATAGAGATCACTGAATAATACAACAACAGTCCCAACCCACACACACACACACATCCAAAAACCATCAAACAAGCACGACACAGTACGGTATCGCTGGCAGACGCCACCCAACCACCCACATTACACACACACACACACACACTCATTACAAGGAAAAAACCCTCCCTCACATCAAAAGGGTGTAAAAAAGCATCTTGTCGTCTCTACAGCGTGCGACTACAGACAGAAGCGTGTGGGCACAAAAAGGCAGAGATGAATAATAGAGAATCTCGTGCGCTTTCATGGACTCGGTTTAAAGACAGCAGAGGCGATCTCAACAGAATGACCATCGCAAATGCCCAAATATCTTCAGTGGATTATGTTCTAAGAATATAGCAGAATGCACTGCAACAAGCTTGCTGAAAAAATGTATATCTAAATATACACATATTCAGCATCATTACTCTAGGAATCACTCTAATTATATGATGAATTTGAAACATTTCTGATTATCAGTGTTGAAAACAGTTGTGGAATATTTTTGTGGAAACGGTGATACATTTTCTCAGCAATTTTTAAAGCTGCAGTCTGTAGTTTTTCCTTTTCGTCGCCATCTCTGTTCGAAATCTGCAATTGCAGTCTTTGGCGTAATTATCAACTTTACGTGAGTTGTGTCAATCCAATGTTTTGAGGAGAGTGTGCTGCTGTCAGTCGATACTGGCATTCGCAATCACAGATGATACTTTTTGGAACTATAACCAACATGTGAATTTTCACCGAAAAATGTCATCTGGACTAGTAACATCCACTTTTTGTTTTTGTTTTTGTTTAATTTTCTTAGAAATGTTAAAACGCACATCAACCGATCACTTGTTTAGCGTTCATGTAAACACTACATTCAGATTCACCAATTGGAATGAATTCAGTTATGTGACGATGACGATTTTTGACGATTTTTGCGTCATCGGAGGATTTTTTCCAGACAAAAAAATACATAAATCTCTCGTCTCAGGGGGATATGAGAGTGGAAAGCACGGTAATTCGAAAATACTACAGGTTTTCTACTAATACAAAGCTTAATGCTAAATCCTGAAGTATCCCTTTAAGCATTTGCCTGTTTAAATCCAAACAGTGACTTTTGTTTTTGTCCGGGCAGTGTGTTTTCAGATCAAATATCCAAACTAACTGGCCAGTTTCAGACTGTAAAACACGTTTGATCACTCACCCAGCCACCCGGCTCCTGAGTTTGGCACACACATGTCGGTCTCGGCGCTGGGCAGCACGAAGCCCACGACGAACACCTCCACGCCGTCAGACATGAGCGCCAGGCCCAGCACGAAGAACAGCTGCCACTGGAAGCGCCCGTGTCCACACTCCTGGATGATGAGCTCGTACTGCTGCGCCAGCTCCTCCTCATCCGCCTCTCTCTCCTTCTCCAGCTCTCGTTTATCCTTCACTCCATCTGCTGTCAGCTGGCCCCGCCCCCCTGAAGCCCCGCCCCCCGCCGGCACACCCTGGTACTCGCCCTCGTAGATCTCGTCCTCGTCGTCGTGGCCCTCGGTGGCGTCGCTGGAGCCCTCGTCCTCGTCTCGCCGAGCTCCACCGTCCCGATAGTTGAAACCGTCTTCGTTCAAACCCTCGTCTTCGTCGTTCTCGAAGCGGCTGTAGTTGCGTCCCGAAGCGTACTCGTCCGAGGCTCGGTCCACCACTTTACTGACCTTCTTTACAGCGTGCCGTTTCGCCTCTTTGGCGATGTCGCGAGCGCCTTTGGCCAGAGACGTCCTTTCTCTGTACGGGTCCTCCATCTTCACTGATGTGGATGGTTGCAGGAATCAAACGTGAGTTTTATAGGCCGAGTTTAAGTTCACTGAAGGTTGGTTTAGAGACAAACAGGAGAGTGTGACGTTTCCTTCTGACTGACCGCTTCATTCACTGTGGGACAAACAAACACAGGCAGGTTTTCATTCTGTGCAAAAGAGAACAAAACTATAATTACTAATTTACTCAAATATAAGCAAACATTGAATGAAATAAAATAAATATGTGTAAATAAATAAATAAACACAATTTTATACAGTGTATATGTGTGTATAATAAAAAAATTATATAAATAAAATATTTTTATACAAGGGCTAACCAAAAACAAAATTATTTTTAATTATTTATATATAATTTGTTTTGTTGTATCTTGCATTTTATTTAATATTTTAAAACCATAAACTACTATTTAATCCTATAATGATTATATATATATATATATATATATATATATATATATAACCTAAATTGAAAGTTAAATAAAAAAATATATATTTTTATATATTAGTAATAACAATAAACAAAATTAGTTTTAACTACTTATTATAACATATTAAATAGAAAAATTAAGATATTAAAAACATAAAAATAGCCACACACACACACATATGTACTGTATGTGTTTATATATATATATTTATATATATAGGAGAGAGATAGAAACAATTACAAAGATTCAAATATAATCACTGTGAATTAAGAACAAATTTCAGTGCATTTCAAATCTAAATTAGTTGGTTATTTTTGTTTTGAACAGATTATGTGAAAGCACTGTAATCTCAGGTGCCCCTGCTCAAGTGCTCATGTAGAGAAGCCATAAATCAGGCTGGCACAGCGGGCAGAGAAGAGGACACTGTGCCCAGTTTAACCCATCGTCTCTGCATTTCCCTGCTCTGCTTCACACCCTTACCCTCCACAGGGAGTCATGTGGACATTACCCGGACAGAGTTATGGAGAAGAGAAACTCCACATGATGCAGACACTACAACAGTGAGTCTTCACACACATGCACGTGCATCTCTGATACTCAGAAACTCACAAACACTGCAGTGCAGCACCATTCCTCTCTCAGGCCCCGTCCACACTACTGCGTTTTCGTTTAAAAACGGAGAATTATAACGAATACAATCTTGTCCACACCAGCGTTTTATCAGCGTATTAGAATTGATCTCCGTCCACATTAAAACGACTAAAAAAGCGGATCACGTGACCATTCACCAACACTGGGCATGCGCGTGCCAGTGTAACAGTGGCTGACGAATCAGGGAAGGACACGTCATGACTGATGACAGCCAATCATAGAGCCGAGCGTCAGCCTCTGCGTCAGTGTTTCTAAACTCCTCCGTTTTGTCCCGTCTACACTAAAACGCCCTCCGGAGATTCAAAACGCAAAACGGAGCTGCAGTGTTTTTAAGGCCCCGTTTACACGAAGGGAAAACGCAGATATTTCCCTGCGGTTTGGCCTCTCGTTTACATGAAAACCACGTTTTTATCACAGAAAACGATTACTTCTAAAAACTCCGGTCAAAGTGGGGATTTCTGCAAACGCCGGTTATGTGTTGTCGTGTGAACTGGGAGAAACAACGTTTTAGGTTCTCTCTTGTCGATTCTGAGGATTCTGATTGGCTTGCATGGCTTTATCCTTCTCCCTACACTGCCGCCAATAGGTTTGGCATAGTTATGATGGCGCTCGACGGCGTATTTATGCGGGTGTGTGAACGATGTTATTTTTGAAAACAAGGAGGGGGAAAATATTCGTTTCGCTAAATACCCAGCTTTGTGTAAACGTGGCCTAAACTTCTACGTTTTAGGTCTTCGTTTTTTTCGGTTTTAGTCTGGACAGGAGGTGCAAACGTAGCAAAAGCTCTTTTAAAGGAAAACGCAGTAGTGTGGACGGGGCCTCAGACAGAGACACACACACTCATCTCGCTTTTATCTCCTCAAATCTGAAAAATAAATACACACACACACACACTCTTTCTCTCCCCCCTGAAAATTATCAGTCAGTCTCACAGATACTATCTCAGAGAAAGGGCCGAAATGAGAGAGAATATTCCATTTGCGATTAAATATTCTATTCTATTTTATATATAAAGAGGATAATGAGAATTGAGATTACAGTAAAGGTTCCAAATAGAACCAGAACATTCTAAAATCTTTTGAAGTTCCAAAAAAAAAAAAACCTTTTTAAAGGGGGGGTTGACTGCGATTTCACTTTTTTCATTTTAAATAGTGTGTAATGTTGCTGTTGGTGCATGGACAGTATCTGCAAAGTTGCAACGCTGAAAGTTCAGTGTAAGCAGAGAAATCGTCTTTTAAAAATCAGGAAGAATATTGCAAAAACGACTGGATTGGGACTACAGCTGGGTTATGGTACGTCACTAACCCACACATTTGCATCAACCACTCCCTCCGGAATAAGCAGAAAAGGGCATGGCCATATTTCAGCAGCTCCAGCAGCTCGTCGAGTGTGTTGTTCACGCAGCTGTCAGGTCTTATGTCTTCGAGCTTCCCACGGACGCTGTACTTCGTCAACAATGGATACAATTTATGTTTGATTATGTTCCTGAAAATGACGATCGTAATCCAGCTCTCTGTGCTGTGCATTTTACGGAAGACAGCTTCCAGAATCTCCACGAGTTCAACAACGGGATTCAAAAAGAAACTGTTACTAAAACATGAAGCAGTTCCAACTTTAAAACAAGAGGCAGCAGTTGTTGGGCCACAACCTGTAAGTAGGCTAAGACTTCATCATTTTAAATGTATTTGCATGTATAATTCCAGACGTAACATTAGTCTTGTGTTTTAGTTTTTTTTTCTAATGCCAGCGCTGGCTTTATTGCCACTAGGCTATTAGTTATGCTATTTTGTGTCTACGACAAACGCGTACAAACATGAATTTTGTATAAGTGCTAATGTTGTAAATGTATTTTTCATGTATATATGTTTTATGACGTTATTTTCGATTTGATCAAGAACGTAAACTAATGCCAACGCTGTTTGAGTATAACATTAGTAGCCAGTCAGTTGCTATTGTTGCCAGTCAGATGCTATTGTGTAAAATAAACGTGTATAAAGTTAAAAAATGTAGCAAATTATCATTCAGAAACGTTTATTAAGAGCCGTGTGTGATGAGGTTCTGTTTGACTCTCTTCATCGCAGCTTTCTCGGTCTGATTCTGGGTCATACTGATACTGCAGTTCGACGCATATTTACATCTGGACCGGAGCTCATGACGTGCCCGTAAAGGTAATGGGCGTTAACTTTCCGGACAACGTAAGCGACAGTTTAGCCAATCACAACTCACCGGACCAAGCTAACCAATCTGAGCCCTCGACGTGTTTCTGAGGGAGTGGTTTCATAGAATCAGGAAGTGAACCGCTCATTCGAGGACAGAGGAGAGCGCGGCTGACAATAAACGTGAAGTTTATGAAAAAAAAGACTTTTTAAAAACGAAAAACCACGAATACATGTTATATTGCACCCCATAAACACAATCATGCAAAGAAAAAAAGCAGTCAACCCCCCCTTTAAATATTCTTTAGTTCTGGTATTTTAAAGGGTTAGTTCACCCAAAAATGAAAATTAAGTCATTAATTACTCACCCCCATGCTGTACCAACCCCGTAAGACCTTCGTTCGTCTTCGGAGCATAAATGAAGATATTTTTGATTCAATTTGGCCTGAAACGAGACTTCAATAGATTTCCACGACGCAAGCGCGAGAATTGCAATCTCCGTCAAAATCTATGGAAGTCTCGTTTCAGGCCAACAAGGAAGAAAAGGAATAGACGAATAAAGTCGTTATTTTTGTTTGTTTTTTCGCACAAAAAAAGTAGTCTCGTCGCTTGATAAACTTATAGTTGAGCCACTGCAGTCACATGGAATATTTACACATTTTCTTCATTGACTTTCTGGGCCGTCAAGAGCCAGTCCCTTAGGAGCCAATGTGGTAGTAAAGTTATACAGCTCTCAAATTTAATCAAAAATATCTTTATTTGTGTTCCGAAGACGAACGAAGGTCTTACGGGGTTGGTACAGCATGGGGGTGAGTAATTAATTACTTAATTTTCATTTTTGGGTGAACTAACCCTTTAAAGCCCCTGAATCCATAACACAAAACATCTAGAAAGATCTAGCAATTATAGAACAATATTCAGCCAAAAATGTTTTTTGATAAGAAAAGGTTGAACACACGATCCACCGAAGAACCTTTATTTTGCAGAATGTTTCTTGAATCTCAATTCGAGCTGACATTTGATAACTGCGGCTGAAATTCTGGCCAATATGCTGATCGTCATTAGAATATGATTAATATTCATTAACTCTGGCATTTGGAACTCAAATCTTAAGAGCCTTGAGCCACAGAAACAAGACCCATTAAAGACATGTCTGAGAATAAGACTTACTTACACCATAAGACTTACACAAACCACACCAATATATATAAAAAAAAAACATGTTCATAGAAATGTATTAGCACACCATAGAAAAAATAGTTGAAAAAAGAGTGTTTAACAAGAAAATACCATTTCTTTCTATATCAACATTTTACGTTTATTTCAACGTGTTGCCATTTCTTTGTGATTATTATTAGTTAAATGTAATAATCTTTTTTTGAGTGCACTAAAAGATTTATCAACAATTCGGTTCTTTTCAATGAACTGGTTCATAGACTCTAAAATGAGTCTGAGTGATCTTGAGCAGTCATTAATTAAAACGTGTTAAATCACAACGGCATGCAGACGGAATGGAAAGATCCTATTGGCTGGCTGATCTGATTGGGCTATTCCAGTGGTGTCGTGTGTGTCGGCCTTTCCTGAAGAATCAGCCAAACCTTCATCTGATTCAGCCGAAACAGAAGCATGATTCTCTAAGAGTCGTGCGTTTCACGGGCCGCTGATACTGTCAGAGACGCTCATTAATCACAGAGGAGGAGCGCGAAGAAAACGTGACCGATCTGACCGGCACAACAGCAATGTTAACAATCAAATTATGTATCCACAATCCATCTAAAAACTCTTGGAAAACTCAACACAGCCCGTCCGGAACGCTGCGGCAATACAGACCTAAAAAACAAAAAAGACCCGCAAATCATGACATCATTTAGTCCGAGACCAAATAAAGGCTGTTCCGGATGTAACTATGACATCATTAGAGGGGTGATGTAATCAATGCGACACCCGTTTTTCTGCATTAACCCCCGTCGTGAGCGCGGGAGGGGGGGGAGGAACAAACTCACGGGACGCTGCGACACAGTTTGACCCTCCATAAACCACTGATGGAGCTCAGAAGAACAGTGAAGTCACTCACACCTCAGGATCTACACTGCAAACTCGCTGCAAGTCGCTTCTCAAGTAAACGCATCTTGATTTGGAAAGGTTGCGATGTGTGTCCTGGAAAAGACACCGATTTTTGTGGCGGTGTTTCACGAGGTGTTTGGGTGAATGATTATTAAGGTCGCGCTGTATTCTAGTGTCCCTGATTCCACACTTCACCTTGCGGAAAACAGATCCGTGGTTAACCAGATTCAGTGGTTTAGTGGAAAGCTGATGAATAACTCCTTGCAGAACACCACACACACACACACACACACACACACACACACACACGTATATCCTGCAGTAATGTAATGATGGATAGCTGAAGGCTTCACTGGTCACTGGGACTCACCAGCAGCTGTGGGGGTTTCATAGTGGACGCCTGCACAGATTGGATGAAGTCGTGGAGTGTGTGTGTGTGTCTGTGTGTTTGGCCGCCTGGGAAACCCTACATTATGGGGACAATGATGCCACAAAGATAGCAATATACAGTATCAGAAATCCTTGTCCTAGATTTAGGGGTAGAGTTACTGTAATGGGAGGGTAAATACAGTTTGTACAGTATAAAAAAATCATTCGAATAAAACATGAAAACCCAGGTGTGTGTGTGTGTGTGTATGTGATGTAGACAGATCACTACAGTTTGATCTACATCCACTACAGTAAAAGCTTTATACCGAGTACAATCTACTGTATACAAAAGGATTTTACTATTTACTGAAATAAATGGATTTTTTTTTTTTAAGTGAAAGAATCCCAAAGAGTTGATTTTGGAGAAATTGCACAGTGTAAAGAGTTGGTGCGGTTGTTAAATAATATAATATATATTAAAAAAATCATTTTTATAAATTAAGATTAAATCATTTATATAAAGAGAATTAAAGGGGTGGTTCAGGATTTTGGACATCGGTCCTCATTTCCAAGTGAGCCTTAGTGTTATTTATCAGTGGAGACAGTTTTCAAAAATGTTCTTCCAGTTGCATAGTTCGCCGGTGCTAGGCTAGCGCGAGTCAATGGTAACTGCTAGCCTGCCATTAAAAACAGTTTTACCTACTCCACAGTACACCAAAAGCACATAAATTATAACGCCAGACTATCGATGTAAGTGTCTGTTAAGAGAATAATGTAAAAAATCAAACTACTCTTGCATCTCAACGATCACAAAACATTTACAGGAAGTAGGAAGTAGTTTCTCAGCAGCGGCGGAATTTTACTTTGCTCCAGTTAGTAGTACTGTGCCAAAAAGTAAACACAGAACCGAAGCGCACTACAGTCGGGATTACCTGCACTACCTCTCTCTCTCGGTTGCCTAGGTAACTACATTCGCCGCTGCTTTAAACTGTGCTAATAAATTCAGGGAACAAAGTATAACTATTGCACTGAGATGAAAGGGTAGTTTGATTTCGAACATTATTCCCTCAACAGACATTTGCATCGGTAGTCTGGCGTTATAATTTATGTGCTTTTGGTGTACTGTGGAGAGGGTAAAACTGTTTTTAATGGCAGGCTAGCAGTTAGCAGTCACCGTTGCTACTACCTAGCACCGGCGAACTATGCAACTGGAACGACTGGAAGAAAGTTTTTGAAAACTGTCTCCACTGATAAATAACAGGCCCGATGTCCAAAATTCTGAACCACCCCTTTAAGATTAACAGTAAGGCTGTGTGTCCACCAAAGCTTTTTTAGGCTGCGCTTTTTTTGGGCTGCGTTTTATCCAAAGTTGAACGTTTTTCAACTCTCGGCGACCAGTAAAAACGCTGGGTGCTCAGTGCTTCAGCGTGAAAAAAAAAGTTCAGCGCCTCATTACGCTCATGGTGTTTAAAAAACGCGACGCTCCCATTGGAAACAATTGAAAACACACGCCAGGTGCGCGGAAAAACGCTTTGGTGGACACACGGCCTAAAGGTTCCAAATTGAACCAGAACTTCCTAATCTAAATCATAGAAGAACCTTTCAAATGAAGTGTGACTATATGTAATATTTGAACATATATAAATTCATTTGACACACAGGACACCATTTCAGTCAAATTTAAAAGGCTACAAAAAATATAACAAAATGGTGAAGTTGTTACATTTCAACCTCAAATCTCGATAATAAATAAAAACAATTTGCATGCTATAAAACATCATTTGCAACAACTCAAATGTCAGTACAGCTAATCCGTGTTCGGTGTAAAGTGGGCGTCTGTGCTTTTACTGAAAGTGGTTTGAAGGAACAGACTACAGGGGTCAAAGGTCACATGTTATGTGCGCTGGGGGACACTTTGTCTGATCCACTTCATTGATTAGCTGACATACACATATAAGAGTGTGTGTGTGTGTGTGTGTGTGTGTGTGTGATAAAACTGATGCATCTGAAACCATGTCCCTATCTATCTATCTATCTATCTATCTATCTATCTATCTATCTATCTATCTATCTATCTATCTATCTATCTATCTATCTATCTATCTATCTATATTTTTTTTTTATTTCCTAAGGCACATCAGCTTTACCTAAAAATAATTCATATTTAATTTTTTATCTTTTTTAAAATATTTATAAAGTATTTGAATTTGCTTGAAAATGTCTATGTGGTTCACCTGAATAAGAGCAGATAATTCTAAAACTCTACATCAAAATGGCAAATGTCAAAGGACCAGTTCACTGACAAACACACACGCAAACACACAGATGTGCCGGTTCAAACTGGTCTGAGATTTCTGCTAAAGCGCTGCAGTGAAAATATCAGATGCTAATATGGTATGATTGCCATATGTTTTATTGTTTTACAGTACAAGGTATTTCAAAAGAATATCTTGTTACCACCATAATACATAACAGTATTAAGGTTCATGTCCAAAAAGCCATAGCTACTTATTTGTTAGTGCACTTTTCCGTAGTAAAGAAACATTTTCCGTTGCAGGACAGTCCTATAGTTGTGTATTCACCGCATCAGTCTCGTCTGTGAGGCAGGTTGTTTCACGCACCGCAGCTTTCACCCTTTTACTAGCACTGGGAGAAAAGTCATCGGTCTGCGTGTGAATGGCCAGCACAAGCGGGAAAAGGCATCAATCACGGCCCGGCTCTGACGCAAGCTCGCCCCGTAATGAGATTTCGGCTGTCTTGACATTGTGCATGGGAATCAATCCCCCTCCCTCTCCGTTTTATCTTTCCGTCACACACACATCTGCTCCACAAGCCTCCATGACTCACATTTTCAGGTGGATTTCTTTCTGCTCGTGACAGTCACGCACATTTTGTCAGGAAACAAGTTCCTAAAGTGAATCTCTCTCGCTCTCTCTCTCTCTCTTACTAATCCAGGAGCCCCCGCGGATCTTAACACACACACACACACACACACACTTGATATCTTCTCCAGTATTCAGAACATAAGTCGATCTACAGTATGTCTTTTAATAACAATTCTTAAATGAATAGATCACCCAAAAATGTTGCCATTATTTACTCTCACTTAACACAAAAGTAAAGAATCTTCATGCAAAATGGTTCACAAGCAAAAAAAAAAAAAAATAACTTATTATAAAAGTAATCCATGCAACTGTATCCCCTGCCTTCTGAAGTCATTTAATGCTTTGCTTGATAAATATAATAACATATTAGTCATTATTCATTGACAAATTGATCAAATAAAGAACTGCTAGATGTGTCAGCCGCGTTTGGTCACATGACACACGAGAACCAATGAGGTTGTTGGATGTTGCTGGCATCACTCCTGCCATATTTAATGTGAGGTCCTCCTCACTCAAAGTTATTACATGACTTCAAAAGGCTTAGAAAATAGTGCATGAGTCATATTGATGACTTTTGAACTATACTTTTGTAGTGTTGTTTTTGGTCCTTTACAAACATTATTAATACACATTGTTATTATATGGGAAAATCTGCATAGACTAGGCTAAATGATCCTTTTGTGTTCCACAGAACAAAAAAATAACATCAGAATACAGGCTTTGCAATCTTGAATAGTTGGTCTATATATTGCATCTACATCTATATAATGCACACCAGTTAAATTACATATTAAAACATATTCTATATTCCACGACAAAAAATAATAATGACAGTCTTGTTTAATTCGTGAACAACTATCAAACACAAGTGTGTGTGAGAGTGTGTGTGTTAACTGTTACCCATTGAGAGACAAATTCCCGTTGGTGTTCAAAAGCAAAACCAATAAAACATGACTAAACTAAAATATAAATATTAAAATATAAATATTTGATGAATTTACGCAGGTAAATTCCTTTTAGTAAAAACACAATTTCACGTCACGATCTTCATGGAAAAAAGTGAATCGACAGAAAATATAAAAAGGTTCTAACGGGAAGCGTTCACACGGGGCGCGTTCTGCTTTAATTGCCCATTAACGTACATAAGAGTCAGATTGGGGCGTTTGCGTCGTGTTTGTAATATGCGGTGTCAAGTTAAAAACAGTTCAACTTCTCCGGTCCGTTTTCACGCAAAACGCAACAACCCGTCCGTGTGAACGTTCCCTGTGCGCAACCAAAGTTTATTTTACGCTTTTGACTCGTGCGTAAACCTACAAAAAAATAATAACAATACTAATCACTTACTGTACGTGAGTCCAGAGTTCACTGGCGCGCGGCCACCCGAGCGCGGGAACGCAGATCTTCCTTTAGCGTTTTTTTCCTCTCTCCTCACAATGCAGCAGCAGCGCGTCTCTCTGCAGCACTTGAAGAAAAGCTAAGAAGTGATGGAGAGAGAGAGAGAGGGAGGGAGAGAGGGGGCGAGAGAGATAGAGATAGAGATGAAATCAATAGTTGTATCGCGGCAGCCCCGCTCAATGTGACGCGACGCGGGGCGGGGGAGAAGAATGAGCGAGTATATCATAGTGAGTATATACTATGACTGTATGCGTGGATATGAACACCCCCACCCACCCGTGACGCATTGCTCTTTCTCCTCAAGTCACGATTCTCTGGAGGCTCCAGGGCTTTTTCCTGCATTGTTGGGGTGACTCGTGTTTTAGTGTTTTTAACTTTCTGTGATAGTCGTGCCTCAGAGGAACAATCACCAAAAGAAAAACCCCTATGCGGCACTCGAGTTCTGATTGAGACTTGTCGTGATTGAACTCCTGCCAGGCGGGAGATGAGATGGAATCTTGATGGATTCAAGCGGTTTACGCGGGAAAGGCGGGACGAACATGGAATTCTCCGTGGTGCTGAGGAAACCATGTAGAAGAGATCCACTCAGATTGGATAAACAGAAACAGAACTATACACTGAACCATATCCACTCAAATTAAACAGAATAACCCTGCAGAGCCGCATCAGATTTGAAATAAACAGAATAAATACTTAGAACTGGACCGAGTAGATGCAACAGACTTTACAGAACTAGACAGAACAATCCCTTCAGAACATCTACTTAGAACAAAACCCAATCACATAGATCAGACTCATAAAACAGAGTTTACAGAACAGAACAGATTCACTCTGAGTCACACAACAAACCCTACAAAACCACAGACTATATACATATGATAAACAGAGCTTACAGAACCATTTACTTTAGAACAGATCCACTCAGAAACAAAAAGATAACATTTACACAGACCTGATGTACTCATAATTGAACCACAGACCAGATGCATAAAAACAGACCCAGAACCGTTGAAAAATACAGAAAAGTTGTGCTGAACTAAAGACAGCACTGTCCGCGGAGGCCTTTCAAAGGCCAGTGAAAGCATCACTTCCAGTTAGTGTAGTGGTATGTTTGAATATGAGGTTGCGGTTTCACACTCATTCCAAAATTATATTAAATATCCAGGGTTGGATTAGTTTGCAATTTGGATTTTTTTTTAAATAATATCCCATGAGTCCTAATACTTGCAATTTCAACTTTCTGAAGTGCTTCTTTTAAAAAGAACACCACTTTCTCACATAATACAGTGAAGCAGCCCCTGCATGAGTGAGGAATTGATTCTCAAGCCTCTTACTGATATATCAACTGCTTCAGCACCACCGCCACGGACAGCGCCTGGTAACAACGCACATAAGAATGTATAATATATTAAGCAACCTCCTAAGGTATGGTTCATGGAACATGTCAAGAAATGGTATACCTTTAAGTTATACCTTAAGAGACAACGTTATCAGGAAATCCAGCCCAGATCCTTATAAAACACACCTTGTTGAACCATCTAGAACAGAACCACTTAGAACCAAACAGAACTACATAGGTCATATTTGCAAAAAATAGATTTAGAACTACACATAACATAGGTCAGATTTGCAAAGAATAGAACTACACAGAACCACATAGATCAGATGCATAAAAACAGACCCTAGACAGAACTAGACAGAACAGATACCATAGAACCACATCAGATGTTATTCAGAACAGATGTTCTCAGAACCATATAAAACAGACCCTATAGAACCACATTAGACATTATACAGAACCACATCAGACATTATACAGAACCACATCAGACGTTATACAGAACAGATCCTCTCAGAACCATATAAAACAGACCCTATAGAACCACATTAGACATTATACAGAACCACATGAGATGTTAAACAGAGCCGATCCTCTTAAAACCATGTAAAACAGACCCAACAGAACCACATCAGATATTATACAGAACCACATCAGACATTATACAGAACTGATCCTCTTAGAACCATATAAACAGACCCTACATAACCACGTCAGACATTATACAGAACTACACCAGACGTTATACAGAACTAATCCTCTTAGAACCATATAAAACAGACCCTACAGAACCACATCAGACGTAAAAAAGAACTGATCCTCTTAGAACCATATAAACAGACCCTACAGAACCGCATCAACGTTGTACAGAACTGATCCTCTCAGAACCAAATAGAACACACCCTACAGAACTAAATCAGACATTATATAGAACAGATCCTCTTAACCATATAAACAGACCCCACAGAACCACATCAGATGTTATACAGAACAGATCCTCTCAAAATCATATAAAACAGACCCTACTGTACCACATCAGACGTTATACAGAACCACATCAGACATTATACAGACCTGATCCTCTTAGAACCATATAAAACAGACCCTACAGAACCACATCAGACATTATAGAGAACCACATCAAACGTTATACAGAATTGATCCTCTCAGAACCATGTAAAACAGACCCAACAGAACCACACCAGACGTTATACAGAACTGATCCTCTTAGAACCATATAAAACAGACCCTACAGAACTAAATGAGACATTATGTAGAACAGGTCCTCTTAGAACCATATAAACAGACCCTACAGAACCACATCAGACATTATAGAGAACCACATCAGACGTTACACAGAACTGATCCTCTCAGAATCATATAAAACAGACCCTACAGAACCACATCATAAATTATACAGAACCAAATCAGACATTATACAGAACTAATCCTCTTAGAACCATATAAAACAGACCCTACAGAACCACATCAGACGTAAAAAAGAACTGATCCTCTTAGAACCATATAAACAGACCCTACAGAACCGCATCAACGTTGTACAGAACTGATCCTCTCAGAACCAAATAGAACACACCCTACAGAACTAAATCAGACATTATATAGAACAGATCCTCTTAACCATATAAACAGACCCCACAGAACCACATCAGATGTTATACAGAACAGATCCTCTCAAAATCATATAAAACAGACCCTACTGTACCACATCAGACGTTATACAGAACCACATCAGACATTATACAGACCTGATCCTCTTAGAACCATATAAAACAGACCCTACAGAACCACATCAGACATTATAGAGAACCACATCAAACGTTATACACAATTGATCCTCTCAGAACCATGTAAAACAGACCCAACAGAACCACATCATAAATTATACAGAACCACATCAGACATTATACAGAACTGATCCTCTTAGAACCATATAAACAGACCCTACATAACCACGTCAGACATTATACAGAACTACACCAGACGTTATACAGAACTAATCCTCTTAGAACCATATAAAACAGACCCTACAGAACCACATCAGACGTAAAAAAGAACTGATCCTCTTAGAACCATATAAACAGACCCTACAGAACCGCATCAACGTTGTACAGAACTGATCCTCTCAGAACCAAATAGAACACACCCTACAGAACTAAATCAGACATTATATAGAACAGATCCTCTTAACCATATAAACAGACCCCACAGAACCACATCAGATGTTATACAGAACAGATCCTCTCAAAATCATATAAAACAGACCCTACTGTACCACATCAGACGTTATACAGAACCACATCAGACATTATACAGACCTGATCCTCTTAGAACCATATAAAACAGACCCTACAGAACCACATCAGACATTATAGAGAACCACATCAAACGTTATACAGAATTGATCCTCTCAGAACCATGTAAAACAGACCCAACAGAACCACACCAGACGTTATACAGAACTGATCCTCTTAGAACCATATAAAACAGACCCTACAGAACTAAATGAGACATTATGTAGAACAGGTCCTCTTAGAACCATATAAACAGACCCTACAGAACCACATCAGACATTATAGAGAACCACATCAGACGTTACACAGAACTGATCCTCTCAGAATCATATAAAACAGACCCTACAGAACCACATCATAAATTATACAGAACCAAATCAGACATTATACAGAACTAATCCTCTTAGAACCATATAAAACAGACCCTACAGAACCACATCAGACGTAAAAAAGAACTGATCCTCTTAGAACCATATAAACAGACCCTACAGAACCGCATCAACGTTGTACAGAACTGATCCTCTCAGAACCAAATAGAACACACCCTACAGAACTAAATCAGACATTATATAGAACAGATCCTCTTAACCATATAAACAGACCCCACAGAACCACATCAGATGTTATACAGAACAGATCCTCTCAAAATCATATAAAACAGACCCTACTGTACCACATCAGACGTTATACAGAACCACATCAGACATTATACAGACCTGATCCTCTTAGAACCATATAAAACAGACCCTACAGAACCACATCAGACATTATAGAGAACCACATCAAACGTTATACACAATTGATCCTCTCAGAACCATGTAAAACAGACCCAACAGAACCACATCATAAATTATACAGAACCACATCAGACGTTATACAGAATTGATCCTCTCAGAACCATGTAAAACAGACCCAACAGAACCACACCAGACGTTATACAGAACTGATCCTCTTAGAACCATATAAAACAGACCCTACAGAACTAAATGAGACATTATGTAGAACAGGTCCTCTTAGAACCATATAAACAGACCCTACAGAACCACATCAGACATTATAGAGAACCACATCAGACGTTACACAGAACTGATCCTCTCAGAATCATATAAAACAGACCCTACAGAACCACATCATAAATTATACAGAACCAAATCAGATATTATACAGAACTGATCCTCTTAGAACCATATAAAACAGACCCTACAGAACCACATCAGACCACAGAACATCCCACAGAGCTATAAATAACAGAACCACACACAGAGAACAGAATGAGATCAAACACAGAATGATTTCACAAAGGACTCCACTCTGACCTCTGACCCGTGACGTCAGCTGGCAACAGGAGCTTCACAGTTTCAGCTGGAGTTCACAGCATTTTAACTCAGGAGTTCTGATGGGTTTTCAAGTAAGTGTCCATTAACATCACAAAGGCATAAAATGAAGATGAGGGGCATGTGTGAAACGAGGAGTGTTTTGTGTTTTGTTCCAAGCTAAAACGGTTCCCCGGAGAGCTGTTGGGAGAGACATCATTT